GGCTAAATTACGTCGTTTCAAGAGAACCTCTTGCTTTCGTGGAGGAAGGTGGTTCTCGTCTCAGGAAAATCACATTTGTCGGCAGCCGCGCCCCCCACGGGAGACGAACCCGGCCTGACCCATTTCGCGACGCAAATTTCGTTCCAATAGCCCGGAGCTGCTCACTCCAGGAATTCCTCTGTGCCCATCAACTTTCACCCTCCGATGTTCGCCTCCAGGCCGAGTATTTAGATACGTCTAGCCGGTGGAACAGATAACGGTTCATCTTGGCTCGATTGAGGGCTGTTTTTCAACCGGAATTCTCCTCCAACGTCTAGCTATCAAACGACGCCTTATCTTCGGTGTAATAACAGGTTCGCCGTTAACTGGTTACCGTAACTTCGTTCGCGTCTGGATATAGGTTAAGTTTCCAATTCCACAGCCGAGTGAATCGGAAACTCCTAGTTTATACCTGGGTTATTTGTTATTATTGCTGAACCCGAAACCTGTGCACTTTGGCCAGCCAGTTTCTCAGGCAGCAGCTTCCACGGCGAACTTACGCGTGTTTACCTGGCTAACAGTCGCTCGAGACTCTCCCGGTTGAAATGTGTGCTTAAAGCACCGCTGGATTCGTTAAATAACCTCCGCCTATGTTAACGCCGTTGTGTAAATGGATTAAGCAAGAGGGTTAATGTAAAGTTTGCGTGATTGTAAATCCTAAAAGAACGACTGTTATTATTTGCATAATATCAAATTACACTCTTGCCCTCTCGGTGTGTGTTAAGCGGGAACGTAGGTTAACCGGCCAATTTGTCTTTATTATCCTCTTAGACGAGAACCGAAGCCACCTCGTACATATCGGCATTTTCCGTAGCTCGATGAAAAATCCACACACGACCGGGACCGTCGAATTTGCATAAACGCGGAGTGCGCCCGCGCGCTCCGCGCGCGCTCTGCTGCCGATAGCCGCACTCTTTAAACAACCAAGCACCGCGTTTTTTCACGATACGGAACCACCGTCGAAGCGAGAGAAACGTTGAAACGGATCTCGAACTAACCGAGAAGGGTTTGCAAACAAGATTCGCCGCGGATAAACCGGAAAGGACGATACCTTTCGCTTATCTCTTCGCGCAAGTTGGCCGTTAGATCGGGGAAATCAGAGGGCAACCGTAACGCGGCCGGTTAACGCGTTGCGAAACGAACGATTAACCTGTTCTTTCGTTGGTTCGCGGCGGTGGTAGAGTGTCGAGGAAGTTCCTTATCAAACCGTGTGTTGGATAAAGTCGTTACACGGGACAGAGAGAGAGGCGCGTTAATGGCCGAAATCGATCGGAAGCCTAGGCTCGCCCCGGGCCGTTCGTCGATCACGTTACTACCGTTTTAACGAAGGGCGTTTTGCCCCCTCGAACCACGCAGGAGTCGCGTTTTCCCCGCAGACCATGATTATTTAGATTATTCTGTGTACGATACTCGTGTAATCTTCCGCGCAATCGCCTTTGATATGACATTCGTCTTCGGGATGTTCGAGTCGCACCCCCTATACAGGCTGGTAGTGCGTTTCCGCATCTCTTACGAGCGACGCGAAGGCAACGCTTTTGTCGTGATTAAAAGCCAAAGCGCAGTTCGATTAATTCCGTTTTTCTTTTATTTCGCGTCGAATCGATCGGTCGGAACGAACCGACGGACCAAGCGGAATTCTTCCGAGCCCTCCTCTCACACGCCAACTGTCACACGACTGCTTCGAGCATCTTTCGTGGCCCCGCTTCTATTGTTTCTGTTTTTCAACTCAACCTAGCGTGAGCGCCTCGTTGGATACTCCCAAGTACCCACTCGTTTCAGAGTAAGTCTAGATACTCGTGGATGGAACTGTTTGACGATTTCAAGGTAAAGGAGAGAGCACTCGGGCGGTGTCTCTACAGGTTGCTTTCGAATTGAAGATCAATAGAGTTTTCTCGCGATCACGCTTGAAATACTATACTTTCGACGTCGTTCGCGCGAAGTGGTTAACAATGTTCGTATCGCGGTGAAATAATATTAATTAGTAAACTCTGTTCCAATTTCATTTTGCAACATGTTGATCTTGCATTTCGCAGTAGGTGGCGAAATTGTCGAACAACAGTATGAATAATGGGCTGTAATCCCGCGGCATATGTACGAGAACATTGCAGCCATTAATATTAATTACTATTGAAATTTAAGTACGAGACTGAAATATCACATTTTGTGCATCAAATAATGTACAATTCCCTGCCCAATACTTCATTGAAATCACGCAGCGAGCAACCCGTGTATGACGGGTTGCTCCACGCATGGCGCTTTTGGTCCCATATTTCAATCTTTTACCGTCGAAAATCAACGCAAAATAGAGCGAAAATTCATGAGAAAAAAATATTTCCCTCGTCGTTCTCTGTTACAAAAAAAAAACAAAAAAAAACAAAATCTTTTTCTTGTACTCTGCGCAGCATCCAGAACCACGAGACGGGAGAAACGGAAATTTATATCAAATTCCAGTCGAGTTATCGCCGATATTCGGCCTGGTGGAGTCGTAAATTGGCGAATAATGCCTGGCAGCGGCATAAAACATTTCTGCACTTTAACGTCCGTCCGGGAAACGACAGCGGAGCCGTGTACGAGGTTTGGCGCGGCTCATTCCCGTTTGGACGTTGAGAAATTAACGACGGCTTTCCGGTTCTGGGCCCGTTTCCTGTGTCAGTGGTGCTTGCCTCGATTAAAAGCAAGAAACTGCGTGGAATTAACACCTCTGGTCTTTAAACGGAATCACCTTTATTCAACGCGATAGAAGTAACAAGGATTACTCCTCGATGGTACATATATACGATGGAGAGGAGAAAAGAGGGAAATCGTAAATGTGGCGCCAAGTTTAAGTCTGAGATACAATTCACACGGGAAATCCGCATGGTGGCCGAGCATAAGTCTCGAACAAAGGGATAAAGGTTGTTGCACCGGCCTGGAAGGTAGGATACG